AAATACAATTGCTTACATAGCTTTATTTTGATTTTCAATACTTTGCATTTTAAAATAAACTTATAATTGTCTGTTCAGTAATGTTCAAAATTGTGGTGCTAATTAAGTGATAAAAAGCCGTTGCAAATGTTGTACAAAATACACATAGCGTACTCGTCTTTGCACCAATAAAATGTGCAACACTTTATTTTTTACAACCAAATTATGTGTTGTATCTAATTAATTTAACTTATACAGTGGAATGTTTTTTTCTCGAAATCTCGCAATTCCAGCCCGTTCTCATCCCAAGGCGTCATATACTGACGCTTTTGCCAATGCACATCCTTTAGCGTCAATATGAGATGCAGATATATATGGGCTAGAAGGCGTCTCCTAGTGGTCTAACCCTAACACTACCCCAGACCTAAACCTACATAACCGAAGCGTGTTATATTGATGCTAAAGGGTGCCGTGTGCATTGGATGTATGCATTGGCAAAAGAATCAGTATATGACGCCTTGGGAATGCGTTGGCAATTACATAAGAATTCTCACTGAACATAATGCACAATGGGATACTCTTTGCCTCAAATACCACTCCGAATCAGTATTCGAGATTTTAGTTTAGTGTGAGTTCAGGGCACAGCACTTTGGCATTTTTTGCGCACTTCCTTCCTCCAAAGTCCATTTTTGTGTATACCACTTTTTGAAAATCAGTGAAAAATTAGTATCTCTAATCTGAATGCATTCGGTCTGAATGCAAGGATGTTCTCCCTGCAGTATGTATTTCCATACCTCCTTGCACCCAGCTCACGCAGACATCACACATCATAAGCGTGTTCAATGAGGCTATGCAGACAGGACTAGACACACCGTCACTGAGCAATGCAAACAAACAGCACCTTTCACAGTTCCTCCTGAACCAAAACAATGAGCATTGCTGCATTCACGCCATAACTACCTTAATTAAGAGATGGCAACCATTGGCGTTCTACTTATAGCAGCCATATCACCCTATAGCCCAAGACTGGTTGCCCACTGAAGCTAAGCAGGGTTGAGCCTGGTTAGTACCTGGATGGGAGACCTTCTGAGAAAACCGGGTTGCTGTTGGAATAGGTGTTAGTGAGGCCAGCAGGGGGGCGCTCACCCTGTGTTCTGTGTGGGTTCCAACGCCCCAGTATAGTAATGACCAAGGGGGTAATCCATCGACCGGAAGTTGAAGCCTCTCTTGGGAGCTGACATCTTGTAGCAGAAGTTCACTTGCGTTAGCATTCCCATTGACTCCCATTCATTTTGGCATCACTTTGACAGCGAATAACTTTACATCTGAGGTGTTTGAAGACCCATTTGTCCTTTATTTATTTCTAAAGAAACACGACAATGTATAAATAGCTACATTACCTTGTAGCTTATGGCCCGTGGAAAGCAGTTTTAGTGAAAGTAGGCTAATGATTGCGTCATACCCACGTGACTCTCTGTCGCACAGTAGAGAGATTACCTTATGGACATGAGAAGAAGCTCGCGCGCAATCGGGGAAACATGGAGGCAAAATGATAAAATAATTAATCAGAATACCTAGCAAAATTGTCTCCTTCTCCTAGCTCATGGACAGCTCCCATTCACACTCTCCGCCTCTGCATGTTTCGGAAGGGAATGATTCAGATTTCTCATGCCACAGCACTAGAAGACAGACGGGTCACTCACGTCACATCTACGTGGTCAAGCTCTGTTTGAGTCTGCGCGTCAGGGACGGAAGTGCTAAAAAATTGCCAAAAACAGGCTTCAATCATCTCAACGGAGTTCCAATGAGATCGCTCTCATTGAGATGTTAAACCTTCGGATGAGATGTTAAACTGAGGTCCTGACTCTCTGTGGTCACAAAAAATCCCAGGATGTCTTTTGAAAGAGTAGGGGTGTAACCCCGGCATCCTGGCCAAATTTGCCAAGTGGCCTGTACATCATGGCCTCCTAATAATCCCCATAGATATACCAATTGGCTTCATCACTATGTCTCCTCTCCACCAGTAAGCTGGTGTGTGGTGAGCGTTCTGGCGCACTATGGCTGCCGTCGCATCATCCAGGTGGATGCTGCACATCGGTGGTGGTTGAGGATTCCCCCTTTTATGTAAAGCTCTTTTAGTGCAGAGAAAAGCGCAATATAAATGTAATGAATTATTATTATTATAGCAGTTCACATCCTCTGGCTCGGATTTATGCATTTCTATTGAAAACTATCAACGATAAAATTAATCTGCATCAGTCAAGTAGTACAAGTCAACGGTCTTTGAGTTATATTCATTATTATTGTTACGTTATGTGCTTTAAAACATGGGGTAATTTAACGCCTCCTCTCATGACATTTTGCAGAATCTGCTCTGCCTGTGCTCGTTCGTGTGTTTTGGAGGAGGTGTGGCTTTAGTGAGATAGCTCTCGAGGGAGGGTGAGATCTTGTGCTTTCAAAGTCTCCAAAATGACCTACCCAACCATTAACTATTGAATCATTCATGTTCACAGTCTGCAATATATTTCGTTTATTTTAGGTTCAAGTCTTTTTAATGACCCTCCAGCCACAGTTCACTCACAATTTCTTTCAGATCCTTCCTTTCGCCATTTCCTTGGCATGCAGTTTTAGCCGAGCTGAAATCCCAATGCAATGCCCCAGTCTATTTCTCTTCTCCATGAGCTAATTTACTGCTCTCAGCAACTGAAATTTCACACTATTTGCCTGGCAGGCAACATCAAGTCTGCACACTGTACAAATTATGTTGTACATTCATCACACAGAATAAGGCTCATTAAACGTGGCACGTGGTACCGCAGAGAGCAATTACCCCATAATGCAGCTTCCACCTGCCATTCTTCTATGCCATACTATAAGCAGGTACAACTAATTGCTGACATCTAATATCAGGTTGAACTTATCCAAGCATTTATTATATCCTATTATCTAGAGGAGGCAAGTAAGTTTGGAGGGTAAACGCTAAACGTGGCTCATGCTCGTAAATAAGACACAATGATTCATGTATCTGCATTTTAACTTGTCACATTTAAATTTAATCAATAGGTAGTGAAACCTCTCCTTTCCATTTCTTCAAGAAATTGGAAAAAATTAATTCTGAAATAGGGGAGAATTATTGCCCCCCCTGAGGCCTTGCCCTCCTTCGCTTTTCTTCTGAAATCCATTTGGCCTGGTCCCCCCATTAGGCTGGCTGTCAGGCAGTGGATGCTGGGATGGGCGGCTGCGTAGAGAGAGGCAGGAATGGAATGAATTTACCCGGTCATGTAGAGCGGGTGTCAGAGAGCGACTCAGGCAGCAATCCATCAGTGGCACCAGCGTCCTGTCAGGGGAGGGGTGGAGGAAGCGACACATTGGGTCATCAGAGGATCTTCATTCTCCAGCGGTTTACATGCCAAAGGGACGTGATAAGCCAGGGGTCTGAGGAGCATGGTTGAAGTGTGCACATTTTAAGCCTCCTTATGGAAAACTGGTAAATGAAGGCAAGACAGGGTCCAATTATCTTCTATGGTGGGCAGCTTTTAAGCAAGCCAGCACCTTTGACCTACTTGTCTTTGGCCTCAGTGCATACAACCCATCTGAGAGGCCTGAAAACACATTATTGCCGCCTTGTCAGTGCTTAGGCATGGCACACTATGTCTATTAACATGGTGTATTCATCCTGTGAGGACTGATTCATTAAGGCAATGAATTCCCTGAAACAAGCTTATGACTGGTGGGTGAGCAAATACCTATAATAACTGTCCATAGGGATCCAATCAACATGCTTAAATGAAGGGGAAATGGAGCTGGGAGTGAATTCCTCGATTCTAAAAGCTAAAATATGTCCCGATTTCTTACTCCACATTTAACGGATTCAAATACAACTGCCTGATGGAAAATGCCACCTTTCTAATGGATAGACTACATTTTTTAATGAGCCAAAAAATATCCAGATAAAATTTCATAGAACTATAAACAAACCAACTACTTTAAATATTATTCTTTACTCAATATATATTGTAATAATATGACAAGGACAAATACATATTTTTTCTATATTTCTTCAAGTTCCGCTAATGCTGATGATTATACTTGATATTCATTATTGCAGTACTGCTGACCATACTGCAATGTTTGAGTAGCCTGACACTAAATCAGTTTGGACGGGAGTGTGTTAAAAACTAGCTTGAATACCCCCATTATTTTTTGCAATTCTATTTGGTGCTAACAGTTAGTTATGCTCATTTAACAAGCATGACAACATTGTTTAAACCCTTTCCAATAAATATCTGCAAAGCTTATGTGAATTTTACAAATGTATCTTTAAAAACCAACGCATTCTCACCCCACCTTTGACCATGCTTCAATATTTGATGCTTTAGGCCGGATTCACATATAGCGCCTAAAAACGCGTAGAAAACGCTGGGCGCGCCGCATTCTCTATTTTGCAAAGCGCCAGGGCGGTTGCGCTTCAGTTGGTTCTTGTCACATGACCTATTGTGTGCGTATGGTATTCTGAAAAGTTGAGATGTTTTTATCTCGACGCGGTGCGGACGCGCATGGAAAAAAGGAGCGCGTCGCACCGCGACCGCACCGTTTCCATTATGAGCGCGCATACCGCGCGTCTACATTTGAAATAACGAACTTGAGCGCGCAAAAGACGCGATATGTGAACCGGCCCTTAGGCGCCCTTTAGCGTCACTTACATGACGCGATCACACGGCGTCATCTCATTGACGAGTTAGATGACGCGGGTAGGTTTAGGTTTGGGGTAGGGTTACACGCGATCCTAGGGCGTCATCTAACTGACGCTAAAGGGCGCCTTAAGCGTCAGATATTGAAGCATGGTCAAAATGTTAGGTGACGCCTTGGGGGTGAGAATGGGATGTTTCATTTTTTTTGCTAAGTTTATATACTGTAAATAGAAAGTATACATTTGTTGTTAATTGCAACATCCATTAGGCAAACCCATTTGCATCAACCTAATGCTCTATATCTGTGAATAAATGCAAACCAGAGTTAAGTTACTTAAAAAAAGCTTTATTATTCATAAGGTAGGATTAACAACAAACATGCGTCTTGCCACAATAGAAAATTGTAAGATATTGCACTGGTTTAACTATAGAAGTTTTTTTCTTTGCCCATTTCTTTTCACTTCTGTCTGTACAAGCACACTGTCTCCTTTAGTCTTGGACAAAGCGAGACTGACACATCGACAGTGCCCTAAATACATACCACTGTGTAACCATAATTGAGTGTCAAGTCTTAAAATACAAATAATATTTAGTCATCATCCCATTCATCTATGCGTCATGTCTAAGGCAATGGCCATTGCACACCAAATAACTTCTTTTCATAATAAAGACACTCAGAACACTAGACTTAAAAATATTTACATTAAAGTGAACCATCTCATCTGTGCTGGTCAAACACAAAGACACACAGACATATTGAGAGGGCAGTGGTTGGATATGGAGTCTATATGGTCAGATGCAAGTCGTGTGTGTATGTGTGCTCCAAAGGTTTTCGTTCATATAGAGCCGAGCTATACCACAGGTGAGAGGTGGCGGGTGAATTTGCTCTAGACGGTGTGTGAGATTACATTTCACTATCGCGTGCATGGTGGTATGTGGCTGCGGGACATTGATGGATGACCACCGCAGGCATTCTGATACCTGACTTTACCTCACCAAATAGCCCAACCATCATCATTATCCACATCACGTACACGAGAAGGCAGTTAGCGCTCACTTTCACAGCCCTCAGCAGCTCACAAACCCAGGGGGCAGAGATGAATTTGACGTATTTTCACACGTAAGAAAATTACAATGCTTTCTTTTTCGTGAAAAGCACATATATAAATGTAAAGCAGGTCGTCAGAAACTACATGTAAAAAAATAAGATACTAGGAGTGAATGGAACAGTTACTTAATGTCTTCACACCCTGTAAAATCTCAAACGCAGTGCAGCCAGAAAGTAAATCACTAGTGGTCTGCTTTCATCCAAGGAACAAAACATGCCTGAGCACTTGCGCTTTACGACACATTATGTAGACATAATACACTAGTGTGCCATTTACAAACGTTCTCTCAAGGTTTAACACATGTAAACATTTAAGGACAGTTTCTTTAAGCCCAACAAACTTAGTTTAAATGGAGATTTAAGTTCTCTGGGTATGAGAATGTAACTTTGAAGTGGGATTGAGTTGTAATTCATCTGTTTTGGATATAATGGTTAAGGCCTTGGTCTTTTTTAATAACAGTGTATTTATGCCTTGGCCACTAGTGTGTAAGATTGATCAGTGCTCTCTAGACGCAGCAGGGCAAACATGACTGGTGTTAAACCGGACTGCCCACAGATGCATTTTCAACTTGATCCAAATGCCATTCTCGCTACAAGTGCATTTTTGTCACTGATCATGGTGATTTAGGTTCATCAGGAATTAAGCTTCAGGCAGCAATGCGATCAACAGCTCCATTCCCTGAAGAAGCATAAATGTGCAAGACATCCATTCACATTTTATGTGGACAAAACATGAAAAAGGTTAAAGTGTAATTGTACTGTACATACCATCATCAAGTGACTTCAATCACAATCAGTCATAAAGTCTAATTTTCCATATGGGCAGGTACAGAGTAGCACAGTAGATTGGAAATAGCCTAACTTTTGGAACTGACTTTCTGAGTAACGAGACCCCTATTATATTAGTGGCAAGTGTTGAACTTTAAACATGTGGTAAACTGAGCAGAAACACAATACAGATGATTGGTTTCGATTAGAAATGCAAAATGTGGTTAAAACAATTATAGTTCCACAGGTTAAGCTTTGAATACAATATGGTGTTAACACATTGTATTGTCAAGATAATATGAAAGCGTACCACTGTCTCATTCACTGGTCAAACCCCTTAAGACCCAAATCGAGTCTGGGATCTAACTGGATACTGTATTTATTGGTTTTCATATTAATTACACACAAAATAAAAAGGGTTTGTGCAAATACATCTTTGCCTGGTATATTTCAAATAGCCGAGTCAGACAGAGCTGATATGGCAAAGACAGGACACCAATTAAAAACAAACTCCCATTATTTAGGGCATAAAACTAACAAAGAAGACTTTTTTAAATATACATTATATAAGAACTCACACACAAACATACTCTATACATAGGAGAGCACGCGCACACAGACACGCACACACACAAAGTCTGAAAGGAAAGGGAAAAAAAAACAGGAAAAAAAATTAGGCAAACAAATATACAGACAGCAAATTGGTCCAAATATTAAAATGAGAGAAAATAAAAATCACGCTGAGAAAGAAATAAAATGGTCCGCTTGGAATTTTGAACAAGGAATAAATGATATAATGATGTGCAAGTTACTTGGTCTTGCAGTAATGTCTTTAGCTACGATATGTAGCTTTATTGGGATGTGAATGATGGCCAAAAATCACATGATTCATTACACATAGTAATTCTAACATCTTTAATTCTGATAAGAAACAAAGTGACATGTAAAGATGTAATTCATGCCATTAATGACCATCATTCTTCCACAATGTATATCCAAATTTCAGTTACCATGTACAACATTAATAATGGCAGTGCCTTGGGAAAATCTCAGGTCGATTTTTATAGACCTACATCTCACAGCTGAAAAATTAAATGAGCGAGAAAGATGGGAATCGCAGTTTGGTTTTTCTTACATACTACACGTGTGATGAAATCAACCTGGTGTTTGTAAAAATTGCTCGGGATACGCTACTCTTATTGCTGCTATGTGTCTTCCTTCAAAGATGAACAGGCAGAAAGAAATACAAGTGAAATGTTGAGGTGCTTCTTTAAGGCACAACTATATCTACTACAACAGAATATTCTTAACGTAATATGAAGAGGTAATACACTAAGTGGATAGGGTTTCTAGCTCTCAGGGTGCAGAACCACACATTTTTTCCAAGTTTTCTAGCTGCTGAGAAAAATTCTCAAAAAGGAGGAACAAGAAAAGCACAACCTAACAATTATTTTGTGAATGACAGAGCATAAAACTCTCTGAATTTAAGCTTTTGGGCTCATCTGTAAACACCTCTATCTCTCCCTTTGTCTTGCCTTTTCAAAATCTTTTTACAGGGATACTGAGATTAAACAGGACAACTACTGTGTGTTAAAATGTCTGTTAATAGGCAAGTTAAATTAAAGCTGGAGAAAATCTTTATGCAGGGCTGCTACGTTGTCTTGTTAGATTTATCTCGTGAAGTAGTGGAATTGGGCTTTCCCTGGGCCCGTGATTGTGCTTCAGACCTAGGCCTTGGTGTGGTGCCACTTTGTGAAGTCCCTGGTCTTTCCTGATTCTCTTCCCCTGCTTGGGAGTTTGGAGGACCTGGCCTTTTTGAAGTCTCTTGGACCTCTAAAGACCTTTGAGAAGTTGAGGCTGGCTCAGATTTGGATAATGTTTGTTTAGAGGGAGACTCAGTCAGCCTTGGAGGCTGGGAGCCAGAAGCAGCAGAGGGACTCAAGCGGTCAGGAGAATCAGGACGCTCCAGACGACATTCTTTTATCTTTGGGTGGTTGGCATCTACCTGGGGACGCTGGTCCTTTGTTCGCTCTAAGGCCTCTTTAGTACCTCCGATGTTGAGTTTGACAGGGCCAAGTACACTCTTAGCAACAGTGGCCAGTTGAGACACAACTTTGTCCATTCCGCTCTCACAGGCAGTGGATGCAGAGGCGGTAGCAGCAGCAGTGGCTGCAGCCTGTCTGCGGTTGTCGGCCTCCTTCATCTCCTTAGTGATGCCTCCGGTTGGTGTGGTAGCTACAGGGGTATCCCAGGCTACTCCAGAAGCAGTGCTAGAATCCATTCTACCACTGGTTTTGGACCTGGGCTCAGAAGTTTTGAAGGTCCTCCGGGGATCCAATGGAGGTGTGGTAGGTTTGACAAAGGGGTCTTTGCTGACAGAGGTAAAGGCGCTGCCGTGGGTGGAAAAGGTGCTGGACAGAGGGCTGGGTTGGAGTGGAGAAGGCCTAACACTACAGTTGTGTACCTTTGACTCTTTCTTTATTGAGTCCTCCGCTAGCCTTGAACTGGGGTCTTGGGCCATAGTAGAGGTTGTGGGATTCTGTTCTGGGGGCTTGGCTGGAGCTTGCATTGGCGGTGAGGTTGAAGTTTGTGTCTGAGATTGAGTGGTACTTTGGCTTTGTATCTGCAGTCCTTGACCAGGCTGAGGTGAGCCTGGTGGTGCAACTGTTGAGGGCAACAGCCCCAGTGTTGGTGGAGCTGCTGGTCCAATCCTGATGGTATGGGGAGAGGCCATTACAGTAGTAGGCCTCAAGATATGGCTAGGAGGAACGTAGCTTGGCCTGCGTCCATCCTGGCTGTCTTCTGACCCTTCATCTTCCTCATCCTCTGAGGAATCCACCTCGTGGATGGCATCTTGCTTTTGAAGAGACTCGCGGCGCTCAGCACGGTCCTGGCGTATAGCAGACAGCTTGTCTTTCAATTTACTCTTCCCAGGAACAAGTCCCAGAGTTCCAGATTCAGGACCTTCTTGACGACCCAGTTTTCGAACTGAACTCTTCTGCAGGCTGCCCTTTTCTGCAGGAGACACTCTTCCTCCCATTAGAGTCTCACTGGCTGATTCCTGCAGGCTCTGTAGACTAGGGTCTCGCTGTAGCATCTCCTTTTTAAACTCTGAATGTGAAGTATCAAGACTATGTTTGCGGCTGGCCCCAACTGGCAGTTTTTTATCAGCAGCAGAGGAAGGAGAAGGAGAAGAGGATGAAGAAGAAAGAGAAGCTGCAAGTTTCTCAGCCGACTGGACACGTTTGAGCAGAGGAGAGCGAGGAGGATCCGCACTCTTAGGGCGGGATATCTGTCTTACTAAGGGAGGCGAAGAGTGGAGTTTGACAGGGAAAGACTGGCCAATTGAAGAAGTGAGAAGTGCGTGGCTTGGAAGAGGTGAAGGAGAACGCTGGGGGGAAGTGTTCTGAGGGGTGGGCGATGGTGTACGAGCCAGAGGGGATAAGGGGATGTTGCCTGCGGACTTCCGGCGGGGGGAGCGGTACTGGCGCTGCAGTTTGGGGGCTAGACCATGCAAAGAGCTTGGTCTGATCTGACCAGAACTGGCAGGAGAGTTTGGCACACTGGAGCTAGGTGAGCTACTTTGAGATGAGTTCCCACCAACTGCATTAGAGAAAGAGAGGGTTTGAGATTACAGATTAACTATAAACAAAACAAATATGGAGATGAATTAAATTATTTTAGAAATGATATTGATGACGTCATGGGGAACTAATACAAAATATTTTAAGATGCTGCAATTTAAAATTAAATGACAGGCATGGCGGTATGTCTATCAAAATTGCAATGACAGTAGTAGGTCTGTATGATGTATGTAATACTTAAAATGCTGTTTGCTATCTTCATTACAGTATGTATATAAAGATAAAGGCTTTACCTGAGTGGGCAGAGTCGGGTGTGGAACGACAGCCCTGTGTAGGTGAACGAGGGGACATGTGAGTGGGAGACCCCGGGACACTGTCGCCAGATGAGACCGAGCGGTTTAGAGAGGACAAGCTGCGACTGGTGTGGAGAAGAGTAGCCTGCTTGGTGATCTTACGAAACAGGGAGTTTTTCTTTTTACTGTAACGGATAACCATATAAAAACCATTACTGGGACAGTAAATGAAAGCCTGAGTTATTTAAATCATTGGGACAGAAGTATTTTCAGGATGGTAAATCTTATACATCACCTTTCTTGTCCTTCTCTGGTTTTAGTTCTTTTGTTGCGGCGGGCCATTTTGGACTTGTAGCTGGTTTTACGTGCAGGGCCAACCTTAATAGATGTATTCTCAAAAGGTGTAGCAGAGATGGACACCTTACTACCACTCTGCAAAAAAAAAAAAAAAATATTCTGAATACCAATAAATTCAAAAGCAACAAGGCTCATCAGATTATGGCTTCCAATGTACCTTGAGAATGAGCTCTACAACTTCTGTGTGCACAAGTCCATGGACAGGCTCTCCATTAACATGCGTAATAAGATCTCCCTCTCTTAGTCCAGCCTCATGGGCAGGTCCTCCAACCTCCACGTGCTGCAAAGCAATATGTTAGAGCACTCAAAACCACAAATTGGTACGGTCTAACTCCATCATGGAGAACAATTGTAACTGCCGTACTCACCCAGACCATGTGGTGCACAGTATAAATGTCTGTGTCTCCCATGTAAACCCTGATGGCACGCAGGGTAAAACCATATTTCTTGCCTGCTCTGTGAATGACTATGGCAGGTTTAACACTGCAGACAGCTGGGGACAGGTCTCGGCTGGGAGAGGAGTCACGTGACGAGGGGTTGGAAGAAAGAGAGTGAGGGGACATGGGACTGGCAAGAGGAGAGGCACCATGGTGATCTGAAAGAGAAGAAAAAAAAAGACTTTGAACATTAGTGAAAGTGTGATAGCCAATCCAGTCAAAAAACTGTGAATTTGACTAGTAGGACATGTTCCATGTTGGTGTCAGCAAAAGGGTTTGGGGTTTTTCAAAAGGGGATATGATCATGTTTGCTCTAGTGCTGTCAATTTAACGTGTTAATTTAATTTATTTGTTATGGAAAAAATAACGTGCTAATATTATTAATGCATTTAATGCACCAGCATAGTTCATCTTACATTTTTATAGTTGATTGGTGATGAACATAATGCAGGGCAACAACTCACAGTGTGATGTAGCCTATAGAATGCAGGTAATGCCTCTAAAATTCAAGATTTCAGGGCAAAAATACTCCTATATATATACTCCTTTGCTCAATTTTGCCAACAAAATATTAACTATAAAGGCAGAGCAGAACTGTTGTGCGTCCTTGAGCAAAACACACAATTGTTTCGTTTCTGAATTATGTTTTAAACAAATCAATCGGGTAAACCAATGTTTCAATGGCCCATTCATAAAGAGAGCCATTTACTTAATTCCTGAATGAATCCGTTTGGACGAATCGAATGAATGACTCAATGACTTTAGAATTTAGACATTTACCACAACACACTGGCAGTTTTAGTTTCTTTAGGGTATAATTTCACTAAAATGTTTTTTTTTTTTCATACTTACATATTAATAAAAACCCATTAAAGGAAATTGTCATCATTTACTCACCCTTACAGTTGTTGAAGCCTAAAAGGTTATGTGTAATACATTCTATGTTGAATCAAATCAAATATTTGTTTATTTTTTGTAATGTCTATTCGATGCTTTTCTCATTGAACACAATTACGGCTTTAACTTTTGGGGGTAATTTCTCAGCCAAAATTGATTTGCGATTAATGAGATTAAATTATTAATAGCATGACAGCCCTGGTTTGATCAAGGACCAACAACATGTTGATCTAGAGAAGTCATGTATGGCAAAATCATGAAGACCAATCATATGGACTTACCAGAAGGAATCATTAGTGAGAGGGTAGTTGCTGAGGCTGATTTGATGACTTTGTTAAGTGGACGTGATGCGTGTTTCTCTGTATCTCCTGATAGCAGTCTGTGGCGAGCTCTTCGAGCCGCCAAATCACTGATGGCTTTAGGAGTGGAGTTTTCATAACTTTCAGCACTGTAGCGAGAAGCTCGATCCAACACATCAGCAGAACTACCAGCTGAAATCACATGCATGCACATAAATTAAAAATGAGAGATGTCAGAGATATGTATACAGAAAATGGCAAACTATCAGTATGATTGAATATGGCGTTACTTGAAATCATAAACCCCAGTCATTTTTGCACCTTTTTATGAGACATTTTTATGTCTCATTAAATCTTTGACTAGTCTTGAAAATCTTTTGAACATTTTATTATTCTTTTTTTTGCTAAAGCTAGAACATATACTCCCCAGAGTAATTCATAAAGACTGACGTGTGAGAGTGGATTGGCTGATCTGGCTGGAAGTGGAGCCTGGTGTGGTGGGTGATTCATCTAGCCTGAGCTCTCTCTCCACAGGGAGCTCTGGTATGGCCTGAGGCAGATCTTCCACACGAGGGCCCCTCACAGGGGTCTTCCTGCCCCCAACACCGCCATCCTCTTCACTGGAAATGGCAAATCGAGGCATTTCGATGATAGCTGAGCAGCAGCGGCGACGTACAGTCAGAGGTGGGCTGGAATCACTCTCAGTGTGAGATGACTCGGAAACAGAGAGACGCTTCCTTAAGCTGCATAAAAACCAAACATGTTTATGAAACAATGTTGGACAAATAGGTTTTGTTATTTATTTATCAAATTGATTTGAGGTGTTTCGCTCACATCTCAGGCGAGCCAACCAGCCAACTCCGGTCTCTAGACTTTAGGCCACTGAGACTGTCGATCCGCTCTCCTCCTTCTTCACTCAGACTGCGCTTAGTGGGAGGAGGGGTGCGCTTCTCCTCATGCAAGGAAAGACGCTCCATACTACTATATACCTGAGAGAGTATGGGGAGAGATGAAGTTAAAAAAGAAAGAAAAGAGAGAAACAGAAGCAAGACTCAACTTTAAAAACAGTATAAACTGTTTAAGCCATTAGACTGAACGTATAATTAAGCAGAACAGATACCAACACTAGATTGTGATTACAGAAGCCATAAGTTGTTTTATAGCAGATACAAAAACTGTAAACTGTACTGGCAACCACAAACAGTCCACATTTAATAAAGGTAATGAAGAATTTCAGTTGTCCTCTACAGGTTATTATTCAGGAAGTGACTGAAATGGAACCCCTATCGCAGTACTAATATTGTTAAAGTGCAAAATGATGTTTCTTTCCCTGCTGTCCCATTTTTCTTTATTTTCACATGCCCTATATTCCACCCTGCTTTTAAAGTACCTTACTTAGCAGAATAATTGTTAATTTTGATTATTATTAATGAATAAACTATTAATTGAACATCTTATTTCATTTTGTAATGAGTGTTAGCATGTGTTGCTTCACACCTTGCTAAATCGTGGTGAACAGGAGGAGAACTGACGGATTTCCAGATGGTCATCATCATTAGTGTCATCCTCTTCCTCCGAGTCTACATGATGATACCGATCTGAGCGTGCTAGAGGGTTAAAGAAAGAGATCTCAGATTGTGTTTTAGAGAACATAAACCCATGTGGTGTGTGCTGCAGGTATGGAAGAGAGTAAAGTATCTTGTTATAAATTTCACTCCATTCCCTGCTGCCTGAAGACGTACTGTCAAAGTAGCTAGTGTCATCCTCCGACTCCAGCTGAGGAATGAACTCAGCCTTCTGCCTCAGGAGACTGTTCCAGTCCAGATCAGTAAAAAAGCGGTGCTGTTTCACCTCAAACGCACTCCCTGTGAGACAGAGAGAGAGACGATCTCTTCAAATATTTTTCAGAGAACAGAGATGTGGGATTCTTCTCAAGATTTTCTGCTCAGGTTTATTCATGCACTATTAATCAGCACATCAGTCAAGTCACTCCTCTAAGACTATACCAGGGAATAGATTTAGGAGAAGTCAGTCTGTTTAAGTAAGTGTGAGTTTGTGCGCTAGAACACCTGTGCCCAGACGCTCCAGAGGGTTTTGCCGCAGTAGTTTGGAGATGAGATCTTGAGCCTCAGGAGGCAAAGCTTCATCACCTTCTGGCCAGATTATCTCATCTATTGAACAAAACATACAAAAATCATCAACAACACAATTCGGTTCACAGGTCATATTTCAAATAAAACAGACTGATTTAAGGATTTTATGAAGTTTTATTTTTCAAAATGAACTATCGGGCTGGCTAGAGAAAAGTAGTCCTGAAACTGATAATTGATATCACATGCCATACCAGTCTGTATAATGTAATGTTTCTCATGATTACATTTTTTTTTAACTTTCTTCTAGATACGATATTTACCACTGATGACTTGTCCAAACAGTTCCTCGGGGTATCCCCAAAGAAGGGAGCACAGCCCACAAGAAACTCATACAAGATGACTCCCATGGCCCACCAGTCCACTGGTTTACCATAGCCTTGCCTCAGAATGACCTCAGGAGCAATGTATTCAGGAGTACCACACACCTGAAAAAGAAAGAGTTTTGAGAGCTGCAGTTCCTTTTAAATATATAAATAAAAAACAGAAACAACTCGACAAATCACAGTCCCAGAGGACAGTTGTACCTGTTTATCAAGGAATTCACGGGCATCTTTTTCAATGTGGCCCTCATATAGATTGGTTGTTAAGCTCATTAAACCAATTTTGGACAGGCCGAAGTCTGTCAGTTTGACATGTCCCATTGAAGTAATCAGGAGACTGTAGAAAAACAGGAAAAAAAAATTCTAACATGAATGAATGTGAAAGTCCATCCATCCATCAATCCATCCATCCATCCATCTAAAACAAATGCTGTCTAAATCAAAGCCAACTGATCTGTTACAGCCTAAGGAAACAAGCATGCCAAACGAACATGTTTTTTATATTCTCCGAGAGTTAAAGAATAAAAACAACCCTGAAGGAGGTCTTTGACTGAATAATAGTGATACTTAAAGATTTTCAAGCTTCAGTAGTGTGTGAGATGTTTATTTCCCCCCCAATAAAATTTAGAATAGAAAGTCAACAACAAACAGGGTGGTTTGGTGTTGCATTTTCTTACTTGTCAGGTTTGAGGTCTCGGTGCACAATGCCATAGTTGTGAAGGTATTCCAGTGCTAGAACGGTCTCAGCAAAGTACATACGTGCCATGTCCACAGGCAGAGCTCCAATGTGCTTCAGCAAAGTGGCACAGTCCCCACCTGTAGACACACACAAACAATTTCAACTACAGCATCCCTTTGGGGTGTATCCCATATTGAAGTCATCCATGAACATAGTCACCCTCCACAAAGAGTACTTCTTACCCTCCACATACTCCATAACCATGCAAAGATGTCTCCTTGTCTCAAAGGAGCAGAACATGCTGACAACAAAAGGGTTCTCTGCAAATGTCAGGATGTCTCTTTCCACAAAGGCCTGCTGGATCTGGTTTCTCAGGATCAGGTTCTGCTTGTTGATCTTCTTCATGGCAAATCGCTGACGGGTCTCCTTATGCCTCACCAAAAACACAGCCCTGAGTGGAGGGAGGCATGCATCACTTCTAACTGCCTCCTTACCCAACGACTATTAAAGAGATGACATTCTAAAAGTGTAACACCTTACACCTTTTAAAATCCTTTCTGTAGCTGGGAAATTAAACTCTTACCCATAAGCTCCATTACTGATGAGTTTAATGGTCTCAAAGTCTTCCTCACGAGGAGTTTTAGTTTTGGACTGAGGCTGAAGCTGGTGTGGCTGTACGGTGGCTCCTCGACTCTGCATATAAACACAAGCATTTGGTCTTAGTTGAATGCTAGTATACAAAGTCGATAGAGTTATTGAATATATTTTTACTTACGTCTGTGGAATCTGTCTCTGTCTCTGGGGTTTCAGGGTTACCACTATCATAGCTACTCAGCTGGGCCATTTCTAGAGAGCAAGAGTGAAAAGAGGGAATGAAACGAAAAAGGTGTCATTGAGAAACAACACAAATGTTATTGTAGCTCTTGATAAAAGACTGCAAAACCAATAACATCAGATTTGCTTCATACAGTCCCCAAAAAGCATTTGAACACTTACGCCACACTTTAAAATATATGAATGACAATTCATTAGACAATTATATGAATTAGACAATTCATTAGGGGGTGGGTCTCTCATAACATTTTTAAGTGTAGCTTAGTGTTCAAATGCTTTTAGGGTGATTGTATGTAGCATTCTTACCCTCAAGGGGGTCCCTGGTGAGGCCCAGCTGGCTGATGATGTACCTAGGGATGTCAGACTTGATGCCTTGACCTTCTTTAGCATGACCTTCAGCAGCCTCTAACAGGTGGTAGAACTCCTCTGGATTAAATTCCTAGACACATAACACAGGGAGAAATAAGTCCCACTCAATCATTATATTTATTTGAGAGATCTGGAGTAGATCGGATATCAAATACTTCAGGGCAAACATTTCAAATCATGATGAACTTATTACTGTAATATCACTTTATTTATTATGTATAAATAACAGTCAAATATCTATAAATCACCATATAACTCTTTTTTTCTACAAACATTTTGGTCAAAAATATCTTCTTATTCAGGGATATTCACACAAAAAGATGAAACAATGTTACATATACAGTATGTTAAAAAAAGAATGTAAGGAAAATAAGAGCCAAATTAAGTGCCAAAATCAATGTTATTTATTTAAGGAACAGTTTAGATATTTTGTGTGTGTGTGTTTATTCAGGCAGGTTTGTGTCCAGGTGTCACACTGAGATATTTGGATGCATTGTGCGTACATGAAGCAGAACAGGTTAACAGCTCATTTACTCTCTCAGCTGCAGGTCCTCTATCAGTGCTGAGCTGTACTGTATATGTTGTCATACCACTGAATGCACCAGATTACTCAAAATACACATGTGACCACAACAATGCAGCTCTATGTGGAAGTCAGAGGAGCTTTTATGTTTGCATGCGTGCAATTTTTTGTTTTTATAATGCACTGCAGCCTGCCATGATTCTTTAAACAAAACAATGCATATCACACATCATTGTGCATTTTGAAGCTTTGTAGTTTGGTCTTTATTCACAAAGTAAATTTTAATTAATTATGCGGTACTGGGCATATGCTTCATTAGTTATGGAAAAGCAGTTTCCTCTAAAGCCTCGCTAAAACTTATCTCAAAGATTCCCGATTAGAATCCTTTCAAATATCAGTGCTTACCAAACACTCCAGCAGACGGGCAGGCCGGGCGATGACTATCATCAGTTTCTTTACCAGCTGGGTGACAAACGTCACCTCCCCACTTTCTGAACGCTCGTGAGCCTGGCAGTAGACAGAGAAGACAATAGTTTTGGAATAGCATACTAGCACACTGTTCAGTTTGCAGCATGTATACTGTGTACTACATGACTGGAGCACCTAGTAAATCTGTCAGAATTAGCAGTATGCAAATTACAGAACACAATGCAATGTTAAAATTGACCATCCATTTCCACTTAGACAATTAAGCCAGAAGCGATATCAATCACTCAGTACTAGAATAAAATATATTTATTCTAGTACTGAGTGATTGATATCGCTTCTGGCTTCTGATATCGCTTCTATTGATTCTAGAATAAAAGATATTTTATCCTACAGAGAGAGTATTCTACAGAGAGAGTGCATAAAAAGTAAAAGCGTAAAAGGAGCGGAAGCACGATCATCAATTGGGTAGAGAAGAGTCGATGGTTAAACAGTCGGCTGATGATAATAGAGCCATCTCTGACAGACAGCACAGTCACCTCAGGGGATGTCTAATCAACCTCTGAATTATTTATACAGGTAATGAAACCGCCAGTGAATCACACACACTCAGGATAATAAAGGGTCTCTGCACTGAGTAAATACACTATAGAGTGTCATAAGTAACAGAAGTGAGAGCTGTAGGATGAGGGAGGGATTTAGTTTAGCACACCCTAAACTAGATGCTCTATACTCAGCTATACATAAGGTCAATAGAAGATTCCCAGGGTTCCTTTAGGGCCAGACGGCATGGTGACAGCCAGGTCACTAAAGTGACCCTAACTTGAGATTGGCTCCTGTGGTTTTTAATGATGCAACCATGGGAGACTGAATGTTATAGACTGATCATTTAAAAAGGTACAACTAGTCTGACCTTAAGGCAAATGTCCAGTTAAATAAATAAAGCCTATTCCTGAGGACAAAGAAGAGAATGCATTTGAAAAAATTCAGGTCAATTGTCCAAGAACAAAAATGAGAAGATGAATGAATAAAACTGTTACTATAACATCTTTCAATATGAATTGGGGAAGCATGATAGATAGCATGAGCCAATATTTTGTTGAAATGTCACTATTGGTCTAAATGAGATATTAGCAAATATTTAATTGTGCACACCAATTTCATCCTATTTTTGCATTTAGATTACCTCTGCTGTCATTTAGATAATACTGATAATTATTATTTGACATTATTAAATTTGACGCATCACAAAATGAACATTTATTATATTAATATATATTTATTTCTTATATACATGATTTCATATATTTTAAGTAGAATGTTGTGATGCCAAGCAATAAACAATATGGATTTTCTTTTTTGCTTTTTTTATTTCCTTTTTTAAAAAAACAAAAACAAAATAGCATTACTATTATATTATATCCTGGCCATAATATCAAAAACATTATTGTTGTGTTGGTATCAGTCAGAATTTTAGGTAACATTTTTTTTTTTTTTTGTATTACAGTGTCCTTATTACATTTGTTATATGTACTTACCATAATAATAACAGTAAATTATGCATAATTAAATGCAACTAACCCTCAACCAAATCCTAATCTTACCCAAACCCTGTAGTTGATTAATATTACTTATATGTATAATTACACTGTAATGACAACTTTAAATAAAGTGTAAGTGAATTTTAAAATCAGTGCATTCCTTATATGGGTAACTAAAGTCATTACAAAAAAAATAAAAAAAAAATACTATGATTCAGAATTCAAATTTGAATAAAATAAACCCAAGCAGGTTAATTATACACATTAAAATAGTCTAGTTACAGTGCATGTTTTGAGTGCTAAACTGTCAACAAGTCTTAATATCAACAACATAAAACAGCATCTGAGACTATGACCTTGACTCAATGCAAACCTGGAAAGTAAAAACAATCATAAACTCAACTGTTTGATCCACATGGTTTCTGAGCGTGCTCTGTTCCCAACGCTCTAAAACGTGCTGAAGAACCTCCTCTTCCTCCAGCCGCCTCTGCCACGAAACGCAGGACATCCTTTCAGCGAGCGAGGAAGCGTTAAATGGAGAATTTGGGAATGCTTTTCTGAATTCACCTGCTGAAGATGCGATTTATACCGCGTCCCTGTCTGGCCCACCTGTCACCATTGGCTCCCAAACTAAACCAGCCAATTAGCAGGGGCTGGATGATGTCATCCCTACTCGCCTGAATGCCAAGTATGTCTGCGGCGATAGCGCGGCGACTTGCATGAGATCACGATGTGCGCATTTTTGATTCTGGCAGGCAACAGCAACTGGATGGTTATGGACAACCAACCGAAAGAGGGGAAAACCCGACCTAACCCCTCCTTCCAATCTCACTCTCTCCCTTTCTCTCTCTCTCTCCCCCGCCGTGTCTCTCACTCCCCGCACCCCCTTCTTGGGTGCCTGGAATACTCATCCGTCACCAGTGGTGGTTACTGGGGTGTGAAATTAAATTCAGGAAGGTGCTGCACCCCCCATTCCAATACACAACAAACACACACACACTCTTGCACATTCCTGCACACATACGGTTTGTGGGATCAGTATGGGACCTCTGGGAGTCATAACGCTGGCCCTGTGGCACTGTAACTGAGCTAATCAAGTCATCAATGACATCTCCTGACTAATGCAGATGTGACAGGTGACCACAGACTCAACAGAATAACGAACAAACATCAGGAAACACACATGTGATGGAGTTCTTTATGACTACCCAGCAGTATAGAGATGACCTCTGGCCTGCTGTGATGACATCATACTTAGGCAGACATGGATTTATGGCTAAGGAACAACAGAAAGGACCTCACTGAAGCTGTGCGTGACAAGGAGTCAATACTCTTGAAATACATGCTTCCAACATATTCTCCACATGTGGCTGTCTTTGCATACTCACATCCTGGTGTAGCTTCTCAAGGTTCTCCTGTAGCTCGTAGAAGTAGCGTGAGGAGATGAGACCCTCGCGGGATTTGTCCAGACAGTCCCGAGACAGTTCGATGACCTGGTGGTGGATGAAGCTCAGGACACCGTCAGCTAAAGGCATGACTTTGTCAGGGGCTGATGAGGATATGAAATCAGCCAACCGTTCCTCCATCTGAGCAGTAGCCTGTGGGACAGACAAATCCTAGTTCAGCAAAGGCCAAGCAAAGGAGAAACAGAGGCATCCAGCCACCCATAATGCCCTAAATCCTTTAATTAACAAAATAAAAAAGAAAGTCAGTTTTGCCATTATACTTTTTTCTACAGTTATAAAGCAACAGTGAGTGATTTACATATTTATTTATTCTTTGTCTGTACACATTTATGCTAATTAATGTCTTATTGTCTAATGTTTATTTCATATATTGCTCATTTATTAATAGCACCCTTATCAATTCATTTGTAATTATTATTACTATATCATTAATATTTTTTTATTACACTTATTATTCAATTAACATTCTGGCACCAGTAAATATATTTGTTCTCTTTTCTGTCACTGTGTGTATTAGTGCTTTAGCAAATGTCATGTCAATAGTAGTTTAATGTGCGACAATGAGACTCTATCAAGTGTATTTGAGTTGTGCAATTTCTGCGTCGGTTTTAGACCTCACCTTAGGGAAACGCTCCTTGTAAACATGGTTCATCATGATGATCTCATGGTCAAATGATATGGGTGAGCGTCCAGGGCTGAAGAACAGAAGAAAGAAATACAAATGAGTGGAGAAAAGAATTAACAAATGGGACTTACCTTACCTTTCTTTTTCTTGTTGATCATATAGTTTCAACCCAAATGCTCTCTCTCTCTCTCTCTATATATATATATATATATATATATTTGTAATCTTATGTGGATGTTGCACTGGAGCACCTGTATTTTCTGACATAGCCAACCTCATTCATGTCAAAGGATCATCTTCAATGAGAGACGCTCCACAGGGAATATTGAGTGATATGGCTTGTGTAGATATACTAGTATGTGTGCGTGCGTGCATTTTATTCAGGGACACAGATTACAGATGCAGCTGGGACCACATGAGTCACTCCGGTTAGTAAAGGTAAGCTGGTCATGTGACCCGAGGATGAGGTAATGCTGTCGTCATTCGAAAGCTTGCTCTCCCTATTAGCCCACCTGATTGAATAAAAACATACTGACCATCGCACATCTGGTTCACCTCCAGGGTGCTGTTGAGAAATGCACCAAACACACACTTGCACACTAAATTGGCTCGTCATCTACAGATGTGTCAATAACAATATGAGACAGGTGAAAAATATTCTAGTCAAATCTTCAACTTACTTGAGAGCCATTTCAATCAAAAATTCCGATCTGACCATGACTGCGGTAAAGGTTAACTCTGACAGAGATTGATTCGCAGCTGAAGGGAGCTGCATTAACAATCACACTGAGAATATTTCTCCTGCTGAGTGACGTAGAGAGAAAAGACGAGGGAAAACGAACATGCCTTGGAGCGATCCTCTTCTTTTATTAAATAAAGAATTTACTGTTTGCACAGAATCAATGTGAACCTCCTGCGGCGCAATAACATTCTGCATTCAGACAGATGATAATTAGTGAATGTAATTATTTTTCTCTGATGGATGCAAAAACACCCTTGCAGCCCCAAAAAATCATGTTTTTGAGAAATGACCTTGAAAAAAAAAAAGATTCTAGTTATAGTTTTGAGCCACATTGATTTAACTGAAGTAATGTTCTGTGCAGGAACATAATGAAAAAAATAGAGGAAATAAAGAAAGGACAGCTATTCATATACGATTTGTTATGGGAGAAAAGAATGTAGTATTTGGGTTAGAAATAATAAAAAAAAGAGTGATAAAAGGAGAGGAACCAATTCCTAAGTATGAACTTTGACATGCCAACAATTTCTTTTAAAGGGACAATGTGTACTTTATGTATTTTATTATTTAAAATCAATATTTTTATTCATATATATGTCTTCAATGGTGTATAAATACCTCTGCCAATTATCTGACTTATCCCCGTAAATGAAGAAATTATTATCTTTATATACATGGGACGGGTAGGTCCACGGACGCTTCCATGTATTTCCACCATCTTGAAAAACTATAACAGCAGAGAGGGACAAAAAGTATTAGCCCAACGCGTTTCCACAACGCATTTTCGTTCAGAGCCAGCGTGACATAACTAAAAGCAGCAGAAACGGAGGAGCAGAGCAGCGAGATGTGCTTGTCACTGCCCCTTTAAAAGGCTGCATTGCAAATCGTTGTCACAAGAAAAGTCCAAAATAGATCGTAAAAGGAAACGTGACCGGAGATTACAAAACACACAAGTTAATTTCGGGATAGCTTTTTCCAGGTGGATAGAGCTAATGCAGGAGAAAGATTTCAAAAGAGACGCCAAAGTCCTGCTTTCTTCTCAACAGGTCAATGTTACAGTCTTAATTACAAGCTTTTTTCATTGTTTGGTTGTGTACTTCGACAAATGAACAATTATAGTTAAAAGTTGATGAAATCTAACAATGCACATACTTCAACGAAAATACAACGAATAAAGGCATAACTACTTACTACAATAGTTCATGTTTTTCACAGTCAGTAATTCATATTGTAACTTTCGTTTGTTCGTTGTGGCAAGTTGCTGTTTGAAATAGCAAACCTGTTCACCCGAACACTCGACCAAGTGCTATCAGAAGACATCCTGTCATAGCTTTTTGGTACATAATGGCTACCGTAGATGCAATGCACATTTGAAAAAGCGAGGTGCTGGAGAGCACAATTCGTTTGAATGCAAACTACATTTTCACCGCTAGATGGGAGAAATTCCTACACATCGTCCCTTTAAAGCTCTTTGAGGATTGACGTGTTCTTACTTTTCCAAGAAATTTGGGCTTTATTGCTTCAGAATATGCAGGAGTCCTAATATATCCTACATGAAAGCAAGTATGTCGTATGTCAAAAAATTCAGTATTTACAAAATAGAAAGCAGACAATACCTGGATCACCTACTACTTCTGTTATAGATTCTGATGTGCACTTTACCATCCCAAAGGTGGAGAACAGTGAAGTGACGTCAAAGGTTACATGACAATGCCAACACGGCAGATTTAAATGTTTTTGAAAGAAGTATTTTATGCTCAGCAAGGCTGATGCAAAATACAGTAATATTGTAATATATTTTTACAATTTAAAATAAACACTTTTTATTATTATTTATGTACAAATATATTGAAATAAAAGTAATGTAAAATTCTTAATGAAATTCATAAATGTTCAAGAACTTTGTTTTGCCTGTTATTTGTCACTCGCATCACCCTAGTTGGGACACAGGTTTACAATAAAGGACAAAATATCAATATTGGTTTGAGTAATGGTAAAAAATTAAATTTATCTGAAAAGAATGTGAAGATTAACTGAGAGAGATGCTATCACATGGAACAAAAGAGAAACAAAGGAAGGGAGAGCAGGGGAGAGAGGGGAGAGGATGAGTGTGAGTAAATGTGTCACAGTTGAGCACAGAAATGACCTCTAAATCCCTCCGAGGTGCTGGAAACCAGGGAAATCAGCTAGTTAATTGGCCGTGACAGAATGGTCTGCGCTACACACACAATCAGATGACATCACCAACAAAGCCATAGATGCCGCCATAGTCATTTTGAACACATTCTGATATATTATGCATGTTAATTAAAAAAAAAGAAAGAAGAAGAAGAAGAAGAAGAAGAAAAAAAAAGAAAAAGAAATGGCTTGGCTAGCCGGAAGGAATCCAGAATGTGTCCATTGTATTTTGGCACTGAGCCCTTTATTAAAATAATATTCAAATTTTCAGCTACTGCTACCAAACCATTTGACATATGGATGATGGATGGTGACCACTGCACATTGAGCTCATTACTCATCGACTGTGTGTTTGAGTGAGTTAAAAGATGTAAAGAGGAAGAATGATGGAGAACCGTAAGTGAACTCTGCATGAAGAAGCGTCGCTGTCAATTCTCTCTGCATGTCTGCTGTCCAGGGCGTGAAATTAGCATAATATTGCTACGTTCCCTCGTCTCTAATTAACCAGTTTGAGCTTGACTGCAAATCCCCTCAACCTCTTCCCTCATCCAGTCTTTTCATCCTTCTCTCCCTTCTTTCAAAAGTAGAAATGGATAATCCTGGGAAGCGATAATCTGTAAAATGTGGCAACAGCAACCCTCACTATCTCATCCAATATTTATGGATCTAATTCTGGCGTGCTGAACCCCCTGCTGAGTGTGTCTAGATACTAAAAGAGGCAAGGCCAGTGTTTCCTGAATAAGTCATCTTAACAGAAAAAAGAGAAAGAGCCAAAGGGGAAGGAGAGCGAGGAAGAGAGATGTGTTTACAGATGAGAAGTTCATGAAGAAGGTCTCTTTTTTAGCATTCAGGAGGAAATGATTTAGTCTCTCAGTTCCTGAGCAGAAGTTTGAATTACTACTAGAGTCATCATTCAATTAGAGAATAATTCAGGTCACATTACACAAGAAAAAGAGAAAACATTTCAAAAATGTTTTACATACATACATATACAGAGCTTAACATATTTATTAAACCACCACCCAATGCAAGGTTTGTGCAACAGCTGCCCTAAACTAACAGTATTAGTGATTACAAAAATCAATATTTATGTTTCTGTAATGGTTAATCCACCAGTATGTGTAAGCTCTTTAGTCACAGTTGGTCAAGTCAAAGTCTGGAATTGAATCCTATTAAACAAATTTTTGATTTAATAGATTCAAAATAGATTGCACAAAAGTTTCTTCAAAAGCAAATATTTGAGAACAACTAGAAACTAGTTGGAATAATTCCAATAACATCAGAGACTATGGAAAAGTACAGTACATAAATCAAGGCCAAAAGACAGCATACACAATATTTTAATATTAAAAATATTAAAATATTTTGTACTTCACATATTATGTAATAATAAAAGTTTTGTGGTTATTATGTGAGAATAAAGACATTTTTAGCAAATAACTTTTTTTTTGACAGATTCATAATTATATTTATCTTTATAATGACAGGTGGTCTAATAAATTGGTTAAGCACTGTTTATATTTGATATTTTTTGGGTATTATTTTCATGTCAACTGTGGACATTTCTCCTCTATCGTGCTCATCAACCATGGTTGTAATTTTCATTATTGTGGTGACTCCTATTACTCATTACTGTTATACAGTTTTTTTATTTAATCAGAATGAAGGCAGTAAAACAAATACTACATATACAATTATAATTATTCTTTTACAGTTATATGATTTTGTTTTCTTTTTGCTTTACAGTAATGAGAATTGGTGGAAATAATGGTCATTTAATTACATTTTCATTTCATTTCAAATTTACAATTTGCATTATTCTGGGGTTAAATATGACATGGAAATTTTATTGATGGGCAGAGAAAGGGATGAAGAAGATGTGAAGGCAGAGGGGTAAAGAGGCATCAATGTGAAGGACACAAAGGCTGAATTATTTGTCTTATAGAGGATGGAGTTAAGAGTCTAGAGAATGAGGTGGCAGAGTCCTGTCAGATCTGAACATTTGGCCTTTGAGAGTGAGTGAGTGAGTGAGTGAGTGAGTGAGTGAGAGCCTGAGGGCCCAACTGACATCACACACACTCACAACATCATAACCACTTGAAAGGCAACTTTTGATTGCTGTGAAATGGGAATCTGTACGTGTTTGTACCTGAGACTGCGGGAGCGCGGTCGCATGGCCGGTGATCTTCTCCCGTCCTCATCCGTGATGCTCTCTGAGCTGAAGTGTTTGGTGAGGAAATGCAACTCGTCTGCAGTGGGCTGGAAGGGCAACTGGTGCAGCTTCTCCTGAGATGAACATGATGACTGTGAGAAGCAGAGAGGGAGGGATTACAAGGACAGAAGGCATTGCATAGGCTGCCCTGACTCTCGTTTGCCGAAAAGTTGTTGATTGTTAGTCTTTGCAAATAATTCAGGCCAAAAAAAAAGGGAAAAATATTGCAAATAAATAAATACATTTAACTATAATATATAGTTTTTTCTAATATATATGAAGAGTTCAGATGCAAAAGCCTCTAAATGCCATTTGAAATTTTCTTCTAAAATTATCATTTTTATCAAGCTTGTATATTTAAGTTCAGTAATTTCACTTAAATGGCAATGAAGATTACTTATTAATTGTCATTTAAGTGAAATTACTGAACTTAAATATACAAGCTTGATAAAAATGGTCATTTTAGAAGAAAATTTCAAATGGCATATAGAGGCTTTTGCATCTGAACTCTTCATATATAAATAAATATCTATCAATACAAATATTAAAACTAAGAGAAAATGTCCAGGTTATATTTCAAGTTAAATAAAACAAAAAAAAGTTACTAGTGATATTATTTAACTTCTTGTTAATTTAATACAAAAACAAACAAAAAAAATCTTATAACTATATTACATGATGATAATTGCTATTAAAATAATATGGCATAGCAACAAAATCTTAATGACCCTAACAGTAGGCTTTATTTTCATTATAATATATATTTTTTTTTTATTTCTGGACATTTCTTATTAAGAGTTTTTTGTGGATTTTGACATTTAGTTCTTAATCAGAATTTCTTCCCCTTATGTTTGGAGTTGAATAAAATCTCTGCAGCCTTCGGAATAAAAATTTGGCCTGAACTAGAAAATGTATTTTTATCTTTCTGCAGAGACTTTAATGGGGCTTGTGCGGTTTGAACTGATTCCCCAATGAAAGCAGCAGCCAGACTGAGTTACAGTCAATTTTGGGGACAGAACACTTTTGAAGAGAATGCATTGATATGAAGCTACAGGCTTTACTTCAGGCTAAGGGGACCTGCTTTGTGCCAAGAGTTTATCCCACTGTAGGGTCAATAGGATAAACCTTCCGGGCAAGTTAAGGCTCGGGATCAAATGCAATACCAAACAGTGAGGTATTTATCTGGGGGTTGATACAACACGAATGGACTACAGAAAGAACATGAGCACAAACACAAACACAGATACTCACCGAGACTGTTGAGCTGGGGGTGTTGGTTCCATAGCCAGAGGATGGCAGAGAGGCGAGAGACCAGCGACGACCATCCGTCCTAAAAGTGTGGATGAGGGGAAAGGTGAAAATCTGATCTTGACTAATCACTTCTAAGATTCTTGCAAGTATCAGGACCAGTAAGTGGAATGATGGCTTTTAGCACACAACAGCAACACGTTTGATATATCATTCAAGCACAAACATCGATGAATGATATTAGGAATTTAGCAGAGAGTAAGGGTCCCTTCACTTGGACACAATGAATTTTGCATGATCTATTTGACCCCTGATTACAATGTGCAAAATATATACAAGACATAATGATTTTAATAATCACAGGTACAACTGTAGCAAATAAGACATTAAAAAATACAGTAACACTTAAAAGTTTGGGGTCAGTAAGATGTTTTTAAAAGAAATTAATTTAGCAAGGATGCATTCAATTGACCAAATGTGACACTAAAGACATTGCTTATTCATCAAAGAATCCATCAATATGAAGAGTTGTTCATGTCAAGTTCATATCAAATTCATGTAATGTTTCGTTTTCACAAAAAATATTAATTAAAACAATGTTTTTCAAGATTGATAATAATAAGAAATATTTCTTGGGCTGTTAAATCAGCATATTCGAATGATTTCTGAAAAAGCATGCGATACTAAAGACGTGTTGAAAATTCCCTTTTTGCCATAACAGTAATATAATATGCATATTCAAATATAAAACAGTTATTTTAAATTGCAATGATCTTTCACAATATATCTATTTTTTATGCAGAGACTTTCAAAAACATGATCTTACCAATCCCAAACTTTTGAATGGCAGTGTACATCTTGAATTTAAATAATTTTGATATGAAAATATTGCACAAGAAAACATGTAGCCAACATTTACATCTTTGAATATATATATATATATATATATATATATATATATATATATATATATATAGAGAGAGAGAGAGAGAGAGAGAGAGAGAGATGGTATATTTATAATTGAACTTATGCCAAGAAACTTGTGGAATATTTTTGAAGATTGTATATCAGATCTAAGCACAAAGTCAAGCTGAACTAGTTGGGGGATGATTAATCATTTATCATTCCAATACATAAATTAAATTGTCTGAGATCAGCTCTAATGAAATGGAAACATGTTGTTTGATGTAAACAGCCATGTTGAAAGCAGACACAGGAAATGATGTTGTAAGGGAAGCGGTGTAATTATTACCTGTCAGCCCTGTGTCCATGGCTGTATGGAAGAAAGTACAGCATTAAAAAGAGATGCCACTGTAAAGGCATCAAATCTAATGTGCATCTTTTACTTTCTCATGACCATCACTCACACTAGCAGATTCAGCTCTGCCTTTCGGTAAATGTGGAATTCGTGGTGGATTTGTGTCTTTAAAGTTATTTTGTAACATTATTGTGCTGTACTTTGTCCATTAGGTGGCACTGTTGGTCCATGAGCATTCTGGACTGGATGACACAATGGTCTTTGCTCTATGGCTGAAATTCAAACGAATCCTTTTAATTAAGCCTGGGGTCATCAGGCCTGTGTGTTCTCTCCCAGTCGTTAAAGCATTACCATCTTTTGCTGCTCAATTACCAATGCAGATTTACTCATTAACATTCTTGGTGTCATTATTCAGAGCCACAGTGAAGGATTATGGGATATTACAAATGTATTGAAAGTGGGGTGCTTAATAACCAGCAGATGAGAGGCAAACTAGAAACACAATATTTGCAAGATGAACAAAGAGATTACTTGCTCAGTACTTGCTCAAACATGATAAAGACTGCATATTTTTTATTAGAACTTACCTCACAGAATGTGAAATATTTTACAATTAAATGTTTTGTTCTATAAGATGCTGATAAACTGTGACTCACCTGCGAGCTGGCACAAAAGAGAAGTGGGCCGCAGTGTTTGGGGAGAAATTGCGAGGACTGTCCAATGGGCTGGATCCTGAAAAAGACCAAAAACTTTACATTTAGGGAATTATTCACAACAATTAAGCTCAACTACCTATTATCACTGGTACAAATAAATACCGGGAAAAAGCGGAGACTTCATACTTCAGACCATTAGGCGACATATCATGCACATCATAAGTGAACATAATTGACCTATGGTTCTTAACCCTTTTTCATCAAAGCCCGTTAAAGATAACAAAACCCTTTAGAAGAGTGGGCTTCTTATGTAGGCTGTGTTGAGACCAGAGGTACAGGGATAAAACACACTTTGATCACAGGTCTTTTCTTTTCTCCTGCACAGCTCTCTGAGAATAGATTAATGAGTAGAATGTACAAGCACTGTGTTTAAGTGCTTTAGAAAACAGGACCCCTTAAAAAGGCCTCAAGTAGAGTGATTTCAAAATGAATGTTATAAAATGATTTGCAGACCACGAGCAAATGATCCTTTATTGATGAATTGATTCATTGATTAGCTCAAATTCATATTTAGGCACTTTTGCTAAAACATACTTTATTTCTATTCCAGTGGTATTTAAATGGCAAGAAGATTTCATAGCCTGGGCTCACAGTATGATGTATTTTTAAGTCACAATTTAGGATAGATTATATTCAGTAGAGCAAAGCTTATAGATTAAGACATGCATAACTGCTATGACTAATACTACTAGAAAAAAAGCTGATCTAAAAACCACTATTCCTAGTCATGTGTGAATTAAGAAGCACAGATCCAGGCATCATCAATCAATCCAGTCAATCCGAGCAATGGGGTGTTCCTATCTGGACTGTCTACAGCTCGAGCCACAATCCCCCGTGCATTGATCATGCATTAATGCATTCGTCAAGCGGCCTGTGCCAAATATTAAATATTAATGAGAGCATAATTCTTTGTCAGGAAGTGACTGTAGGAACAGCTGCGCACAGCTGGACTGGGACAAGGAGCAGTGTGGATCTGTCACGGAGATGCATTCATTTAAAGGAAAATCCCATCACAGACAGTGTAGGAGAAGGCAAGGCATAATGGTGTGCTACACAGCAAAACATCTGCTTATTTTTTATCACGAAAACTGAAGAGGATGAAGGGTTAGCTGAAGAGAAGCAGACTCTTTCTCATACGACACACAGCTGAGAGAAGAAGACCAATCCGCACCCTGTTGAGTTACACATGCTACGTTCACACCACAGATAGATGTGTACAGATCAGTTTTTTGGATGATAGTGTGAAAATCACAGAATCCTGTGTGAAAATCTTGTTTTCATGTGTGAAAATAAACAGCATACTAACAGATTTTTAAAAAATGTGACTTTATGAACACAGAGGAATAAAGGCAATGTTTTCATCAATCTAGCTCGACATCCTTCATAACGGCATGCTTATGTTATCCTTAGATCATTCATTATATCAATGTATATATTGCACAATATTAAGTACTGCGCAGAAAAATAAAAAAAAAAAACGAAATAAAAATACAATTAAAAATGATATATAGATCAAATATTATTACACTTTGATAAATATTAAAATACTAATGCAAATGAATATAGTAAATAAATGTATTAAAATAAATAATAATAATAAAGGAAATCACATAAAATTATACAATAACATTTATTGATAAAAATAATTCATTTCTATTAAATATACAAATGAATAATGTTTAAAACTTACAGAGAGGAAAATTAAGAGCTGGAATTTACAAATAAAATGATGCTGGATAAATGCCATGACACCAGGCTTTGCTTATAACCTGGTAACAGGAAACCAAAAACAGTGCTGCTACATATCTGGTTAAACATATATTTAAAAATTAGATGTTTTAGAAACTTCATCTCCTTCACATAGCGATCAATTATGTTCTATACAGATGAATCTAATATGCTTACTGAAACAATAGTGAGTGCTTTCCAGTTCTTTCAGATCTATTTGTCTTAAGTGTAATGATTCACAAAGCACTGAGTGCAGTATTTAATTCTTGTGCTGCTGGTGTCATAACCTGGCAAACAGCTTCCTGAAACAGACTGTAATGTGTGCAGTGTGCAGTGCATACCCCCTGTTGATTGTGCTCAGTTGAGTTTGAAATAATTTAGCCTCCGCCGCTTTTGTTGGCAATCACATTAAAATGCTGCTAATGGCTTTGAAGTGCTTAAAATGAAGCAGTCTTTGGGTTTATGTTCCCTTTTAGATTTAAATATTGCAAGCACACGACTGCAATTGATGCAGTATGGACAAAAACAAACAATGATTCCTCATGTGATTTATATCAGGACAGAGCACTTCAAAGTACAATATTAATATAAAAACCAGAATCTTTATTCTACGATGCTAGTGTGGTGACAAACTAAGAAATGTTTTGTCTCTTTACGCACTGTACTGTGTGTGATGATGGTTTAATCCAGTAATTCAGTGAGAAGATGGAGTTGACAAGCTGACGTCAATGATTAGGACTGCAGCACTATTTACCATTTTAAGAGCCTGGCGGAATAGTGTGAGCATGATCTGAGCGCTTTATGTGTGCTCATGACTGGAGATCAGTTATAAACACACAATCAGTCAACTCTTTAATCTCTCTCTCCACACACGCAGAGAGAGAGAGAGAGAGAGAGAGAGAGAGAGAGAGAGAGAGAGAGAGAGAGAGAGAGAGAGAGAGAGAGAGAGAGAGAGAGAGAGAGAGAGAGAGAAATACCAACTGGCTTTGACAGCTGATCTCTCCATTTCTCTTTCATGAGGGGATACACCCACCAGAGCAGCAGCACCTTTACTAAGTGTTTTTTCACTAGCTCCAGCTTACTGTGACAACTGCTGTGACACCAAGGCTCGAAATTGCAACCATTTTGGCCGCATATGCTCCCCGGAAGTAATTGCTGAGGTGAGACCTGTTTTAATTTCTCGACAAAACATCCGCTAATTACTGCACAAAATGTGCCTGCTGTGAGCTGACACAGTGGCCGGTCCACAGTTCTATCCCAAAACCAATTAAACTTAATCTTTACTTTCTTAACTTTAAAGCCGATTTTAGGTTGGTTAATATTAGTCGTCAATCACTCCCTTTCACTGCACTCCGCTGTCATGTGACAAGTAGCTAAATAGCATGCAAAATGTGATGAGCTGAAGAGATAAGATAAAAAGAACAGTTAAATATCTCATAGCCAGCACTTGATTCATCTTGTTTAACTACTAAAACACTCCTAACATTTTAGGTGTGGTGCTCCTAGCCTTTTAGTAAATATAAACAAAGCAGGAAACTATACCATAACTATAATTCACTGTAGATATGGTCTTTTGTAGCCTGTGTTAGATTTTGCAAAAATAAATAAATAAATAAATAAATCATATCGTTTTTCAGTTAAAAGCTATATCTTGGTTTATTCTGACCACAAAATACCTTTCCTACATTATAAAAAGGTCACTATTTGGTTATTACTGGCAAATCCTTGAAGTGTTTTAAAATGAAGTTTCTTGACTGATGGCTTCTTTTGGCCGCCCATAGACTTTTATGAAATATTCTTTAGCATTCTTACATAGCAGTTCTTTGAAATTACTATTTAAATCATGATATTTTAACTTTGGGGTTACATAGAGTGCTGGCTATTTTAATGATCCTTCTAACACATCTAATATACTTAGAGTGCTGGCTATTTTAATGAACCTAACACATCTAGTACTTCATTTTATTTTTGATTCTAAACTGTTTTAATTATTCTGATTTCTTTTGATTATTTTAATTTCTTCTATGTAAAGCACTTTTTGAATGACCATTGTGTATGAAATGTGCTATATAAATGAACTTGCCTTGGCTAATGTCCAATTTTTGCTAACTGCGTTCTCCTCATTTGCAATTATGTATAATGAAAATATCTGCTTACAAAGTCAATGACACCACAAAGGCAAATGAGAATCACTCATCTGCATGAAAACATAAAACAATCTTCTCCTTACATAAACACTCCTTACATTTAATTTGTGCACATGTATAACACATGGATTTGATTATGCCTCATGTTTTACAGGCAAAGGTTAATAAAAACAAAAACAAAAAAACATCTCAAACAAGAATGACATAATTCCGACAAGACGAAAGGCAAAAATCTTCCAATCCACAAGGAGGCATCCAGAAGAGAAATTGCATTACAAAATGTCAACTGTCAATCTATTCATGATGCAGATGAATTAGATGAGAAATCCCTGCCCCACATTAGAATTACTCCATGGCAAACTGAGATGGTTGCTATGGAGATATAATGTAATATTTTGTGAACAGCTGCCACACAGCTTTCCATTTGTATGTGACAGGATGAACAGCATGTGTGTCTTACTTGTCAAGTGTGTACAATTTGTATGGCTCTGGTCCACACTCTAGTAAAGTGCCTACTGTCGTGGCCAGTCTTATATATATATATATATATTAAAGGGATACTTCACTTCTGGATAGATGAATGTGTATATAAAATGGGTCATTTATGTAGAAGAAATGTTACATAATTTTTGAATTTTGAGCTTTCTAGACTGAAAAAAGCCAGAAAATTTATTTTTGACTTATGTGTGATGAAAGACAACAACTCGGAGGCCACACCTACCGGTAATAGAGCGCAGAAGTTAAACAACAAGTCTAGGCTACTAGTGAGTCTCCGTGATAAGTCTGCCCTGTGTTTCGAGAACGCCAAAAATGTCCGGGATTCAGCGGGATGGCACAAGGCCGGTGGCGTGATTACCGATGAGCAACAGCTGTGAGACGCACCGGTCTCGTATCACAGAGGTGCGGGGATTTTCTTAGCAATGTTAAAACACACATCAACCGATAACATGTTTAGCATTCATATAAACACTACATTAAAATTCACCAATCGGAATGAATTCAGTTAGATTGAAACAAAAGTTGTGCATGTAAACAATGAATGGTGACTGCAGAAAGCAAAAGCTGAATCCCGGACATCAACGGCCGGACATGTCCGGGACTTTACCACTCAGCTTTCTCCACAGAACAAGAGCCTGCTAGCCTAGCTTCCAAAAAAATATGTCTCACACTATTGTGTACATTCTGTGAGATCCCACCCGCTATGGGTGTGTTGAAAACATGCGGAAGAGCCCCTTCTACTGACTGTAGTCTTTAGCCTCTAACCAAAAAGTACATAAATCTCTCGTCTCAGGGGGATATGAGGGTGGAATGCATGGTAATTTAAAAATACTACAGATTTTCTACTAATACAAAGCCTAATGTTAAATCCTGAAGTCTCCCTTTAAGCTACAGTACTTGCAAAGAATTCTGCGATCTGTGGAGGATGCAACTGCTGTCTTAGATTTTAGTCAAAAAAGGTATCTTATTGTTACCTATTGTTTGGAACAGACTTTACATTGGGAACTTAAAAGGCCTAAACATGTATTTTTTGGGTAAACAGCTCAAAATGGTTTAAAACACATCTCATATAAGGAAGAGAGAGGTATATCTTTTACCTGGGTGTCCATGCAGTGGAGAATGGGGTCGAGGCAGAGTGGGAGAGGTGCTGGATGTCACTATCAAACTCTTTCTGTTGCTGGTCCGACAGCTGTAAAAAAAGAACCAAAAATACACTTATTCTCGTTCACTTATGCATAATAATGACTAAATAGATTAATTGTGCCATCGTGCCAAAACAAAACATTAATTAAGAGGACAATCTTTAGATCAAATAAATTGTAAAAACAGACATGGTAAATTATTGAGTTTGAGAGTATGCCCATTAAAAAAGACTACAGACAACAAAGAACAGAATTGCATCCCCTTTGAAATGGCAGTGGTTTCAGACAGTTACTCTCTTATTCAGGTCACACAAACCTGTCTCATTTTATGAGGCTGAGAGTGCACAGAATTATCTGTTCTTTTTTAGTCTAACGTAAATGCTAAAAGCCCCCGGCTCAAGCTGACAGGGGGAAAAACAGCCACCTACAGCTCAAATGAACCTTGAGACCTCCAGCTAGGACTATACAGCCTTACGCTCCATTGAAGAGAGGAGAAATGACTGGCTGAGCCTTCAGAACCGCAAGACAGAGAGCAGTGTGGTGAAAAGTAAAGGATGAGTGTTCTTTAATTCAATGTGAGCAAAATGTTGACACAAAGGGAACGATCAAAAAGGCAATCTATCAGAGAAATCATGATACTGCTTTTGTGTGTGTGTGTGTGTTTATATTAATTAAAACTCAAATTTATGCAAGCGTTATTGATATATGGATCAAAGTTTCAGACCCCGTTACCAGTGCCCGAGTACCAGCTTCAGCCCGGCCCTGATGGCTGTGGGTGCTGACCTGTGTGCAAAGTTTCAAGAGTTTGAGCAGGTTAACGCCCCCCAAAAATGTCAGAGAAGTCACACAAAGAAAGGGTAACTTTGACTCATAATAGTACAATCAAGTGATCAGTCTCTTACAGTGAACACACTTCTGATGTTTCATTAAGATCAGTTAATGTATTCTGAAGTTATAACACACTTCCTGTTTCATGTTTCTTGCCATTATTTAGTTTCCTCACCACGGCAACCCGTTCGGGATACCAAAAATCCGTTGGCAATTTTTCATCCTCAATGTCTTGACTTCACGCTAACAGAGTTTCGTGGCATTTGGATCAATTCTCTAGGAGGAGTACTTTAAATTCCATTGCATGCGTTTTTCAAACAACCCTTAATAGACGACTTCCTGTTGGGCCGGGGTAAAAAGTAAAAGTACGAACTGGGTACCCACTGGGTGTGTGCGTTTATAAAAACAGAAATTTGCAACACACACTGCAGGAGATGGTCCATAGTTGTGAGCTTTTCACACATTGTACAGTATGTTACCACTGTTATGTGACTTTACAGACCATGACAATGACATTCAAATTGTTTGGTAATTTTCTGGCATGAATGCATCTTGGTCCAAACAGTGTTGCAGAAAGAGTAACTATGACAGCAGAGACCTGCACCACTTTCACAGTGGCAGCCATCATTCAGTGTGTAATGGAGGTTCAGAAGTGAGTTGAGTCACAGCAGGAGACACGGAGAGAAAGAGAGGGGTGGGATAAAGAAGAAAAGCGAAAAAGCAGGAGAAAATCAATGACTCACAAGCTAACGCTGGCACATTAATACTTAAAGAAAGGCCTTTCTTCTAAAATGCCTGATAAGAAAGGCTTTCTTTTGGTGCTGGCTTAAAGATATATTTTTTTGAGAAGGATGTTAGGTAAAAGATAATTAGAAAAAGCACTTGTCTGCCAAGACATGCATGCTGACTGCAAAGTGCTTAAAAAATGTTTACGATAAAAAAAACTCACATCTCCTACTCACAGAGGGGCTTATACTGCATCAATTTACTCTACAATAAAGATCCAACAGCAGAATGCTCTGAGTTGAGCATTGATAGACTGTGTGTGTGTGTGTATTCTACAGAAGATAATTTATGCCATGAAACTCTTGCAAAGTGAAAGACACTGACCTGCGATCCATAAACACGTCTCTCAACTACTGTTTGTGATCTCTCAGTTTGAAGCGTCTGTCATAGGAAAGTGATGTATGCTGTCGTGAATCATTTAGTGACCCACCCTATCATAAAACAAGGACACCCAGTCTCATGAATAATTATGAGACAATGTTGAGTCATAGATGTACTATAATGTGAGAAATTATTCAGATTTTAAACCTGGTAGACGACAAAGATTTTAAACCCAGAGACAAAAATATTCCAAAAAGCTCAAAATTGACCAGTTGTGAAATTCAACTGAAAAAATTCTTACACTGTATTTTACAATGTGCAAAACAAACACAAGAAAATATAGTTTAGTGATTCAAAACTTTTTCAGGGATTGACAATAAGGACATGCTCGGAGCCAGTATGAAAGACAGTTGACAGAACGGTCATTTGCCCGACCAGTCCAATGTTGCACCGGGTTTTCTTGCAGCACTAGGGTTTTTTGCTGCCTTAATAACTGTAATAAGGGTTGATCTATATTATACAGTTAAAACTATGCAGTGATATTTTACATTTGATTACTATTTCTATACCTGAAAATATTGTTTAGACCTACATAAAAAAAACATTTAAAAAAACTGTTTAGTTCATTTGTAAATGTTTGTTCTGTTGTATTTATTATAGGAGAGTGTGTGGGTGGATATCAACATTATTTGGGAAAAATTAACAAAATTAAAGTGCATTTTGCCATAAATTGAGTTTGAATGTGAAACTCCACGAGGTATGCTCCTGAAAAGAGCTGCACGTTCTCATTAAAATATCATTCAATCGATAGAAAGTCGGGGTGGGGAAACATGGCAGCAAAAAACCCGGTGCAATTTACATGCTAATAACATGCCGCTGTGCAGGGTTCACGCATGTGAAAATAAAGTTATCCCTTAATTACAGTAATTGGAGAGAGAATTGCTTCCTCCTAACATCAAGAAATGTCAATTCTATTTGCGAGCAAACTTGCTTGTTTTCATTCCCGTCTGAATTCATTTGCATCTGTTTGCACTGATTAAGCTACTGTTGGACTTATTTGAGTGAAACCGGATTTGTTTTGGGCTGTTTTGAATGACATAATGTTTGGTAGAATTTGTTTAGGTTTGGATACAATTAACGACTATGAATCAGGTGTCTCCAAGCTTGTGTCAATAGATTTGTTTTACCGTCTGTTTAACAACAAATGTTGTGCATTTTTTAATGCATCTTAGTGAATAGAGGCACTGCTTGTTTGAAATATTTGTTCACTTTACATCAGTTTAAATGGACATTGTATCTCTCTGAAAGTGGGCCACCTGAACTCAGCAAAAGATAATCCACTCACACACTCACTTATCCTGGATTAGATTTAAAAAATATTCCAGTAAACAGCTACCATATAAGAAAACACTTCTGCACACATAGCCTTAAATGAGAGATGCTATATTAAGATGTTTTTGAGAGACTGTCAGACCTCTTCCACTCTATTCATCCGATCTTGATTACAGAAAAGCCTCGGTAGAAGAGTCTCGGTAGATAACAGGAAATTACACTCCCCTACACTGCTGGGTAAGATAATGCCAGCTGAGCTGCCTTTACTTTGCCCTGCACACCAGGCAACAGAATAACACTGTCCAGACACATCCTGACAGTTTTCCAGCAACGACAATTCATTTTTCTATTCTTGCTAAAAGCAAAAAGACATGATTACAGCCACAGGGTCTGCAGAGTGCTTCAATCAAATTTAAGACTTTTTTTTAAACTTGCACAAATATGATTAATACTAGAGCAGACCGATAAAGGATTTTGAAGGCCGATACGATACAAATATTTTTGGGTTTTAAAATTCGATATTCCGATATATCGGACGATATTTTATTTATTTTTTTATTTTTTTTAAACTGGACATGATAGTCACAAATTTTGTCATGCTTATTTGAGTTAAGAGAACTGATGGGGATGTTCTTTTAATTGTTATTCAAGCAATGTATGTATCGTGACCAACTCAACGAGTGTTGCCAACAGGAACGGTGTAGAGTGCCCTCTGGTGGACACTATGCAACTCCAACACTCCAACATGACATGGTTCAAGCGTGTTTCGTCCGTTTTTTTATTTTATTTTTGAAATATTTATTTATCGGCCATTATAACTGCCGATACCGATAGTTTGGAAAATGCCTAATATCGTCCGATAATATCGGTCTGCCGATATATCGGTCTGGCTCTAATTAATACTGTATGTCCATGCAGAACAAACCTACTTACAAACCTAAAAAAGAAAGAAAGATAGATAGATATAAAGAAACACATAACATTGGACTTGTAATTATAAATAAGCCTGAATTGCACACTCTTACAACCATCTACAACATGTAACAATATAAACACCATGATGTAGATACTGTCATCATTTATCAACAGTAAATCTTAAACAACACATGATTGATATTCATTATTTGTGAACTGTTCTGAAACCGCAAGCATATAGCCTAGAACCTCACCACGTTTTGAATTTGAACATGTACTGTAGTTTATACATTTATTTGATTCAAATTAAGGTTAATAATGAAGTTTAATAAGACTTGTTTTATGTGAGTTAAAACAAAGACTTGAAAATTCATTACATTTCATTTAAGACATTTTAAGACAAACGAGGGACCCTCCAGCTAATCATAATTTGGGGACTTCACTGGAACAGAAATCAATGACTTACAAAATGTCTTGTCGGATAGATAGGAGACAAAATTAGATTTAACATAGACGAGATGGCATTTATCCCTTGTCACTTTTTCACTTGTCGCTTAATCACATTGTGACAGTGCTATTTCACATCTGCACATAAAAGCATTGAGGACTATGACTTAAATTCTCTGTGAAATGACAGGTGTTTAAATGTTCTTCTAATTGCATTGAAAATTCTAAACACACCTAAGTAGTTTGATACGCATCAACAGATGGTGAGTAATATACTTAGATATGCACAAACAAAATAAGTATAACATAAAATATAAATATAAAACATTATTAAAGACAAGTAAATGGTCTATAATACAATACGAACAAATAATCGAACTACAAGCACACATAAACAATAGAACTAAGATACAAATAA